GTGAGGTGAACGGGGATGGATTGGGCCTCCCAATCCATCCCCTTTCTCAATCGCTCCCCAATCCTTAAATCCCCGGAATCCTTATCCCAAAATGCTGGCTACGCGCTTGTGACTTCTCTAGTGTCACGGTGTAAATGGGTGGCGTTGATTGCTTACCATCAGGTAGCATCGGCTTCTTTGCTGACCTATGGCATAAAAAGGGATGTCAAGCTCTTACTGACTAAAAAAAACCAACCCATTGCTACTTCTACATCACATTACTGACCTACTGTACATCATAATACTGACCCATTGTACTCGGCTGTTTCGACTGTTATCAGGTTTTTATCTAAGGGCTTCATTCAGATATTGATGCGACAATGCTTATTGTCAATGTTTTGTGGCATTGTGTGAAGAAATCCTTTCCATACAGCAAAAGCGTCTTACGTAAGCCTCATCGCATATGCACAGAGCTATCAACGAACGGTCAGCATTTCAATTGATACCGTCGACTGTTACATTAAAAACTATTTTGAAGTACTTAAATAACCTATTCTTAGTTAGTCTACTGCTTTAGTTTACCTGTTAAAGCTTTATGAAATGTAATTATCCTCCAAATATGGAACCATTTCACATCTATCTGCAATAATGTTGAAGTCCCTGGAATAAATACTAGTTATTAATAGTTAATAATCTCTTTTTAAAACACTAAGTACTACAGTAGTTTAGTACCAAGACTGCTACGTTAGTCGAGTGGATGGGTATATGCAACTGCCGAACAAAGGGTTTCCGGGTGGGGCAAAATATTATCAGGATTATTTTAATACGCTTACATGGGTCTTATTACCTAACTGGTGAAACGGAGATGTAACTTGCTTATGTAGCACTATGTGCCGATACGGGCTATTCTATCGTCCGCTTCTGGGATAAAAAACTGGAAAATATAAAATAAATACCTATTTATTGTGTCTCTTCGCGGATATCGTAAGAGCTGACTAAGAGACTATACATTTAACAAGGATCGGGGAAAAGGTACTCTCTAACAAAGCCGAACATTCAAGCTATGATATCGAACCATGTAAAATCCAGCTTTATAGTGCTATTGACGATGTTAAAAACAACAGATTACGAAACAATTGAATTTAAAACAGGACATTTAAAATTTCAAAACTGTCGCGAATTATTCATACATCCTCGGGAAGGAGGCTGCTCATTGATATTAAAAGGGGACAAGGGGCAGATACGTGTATATTTATTGAACTGAACAGAATCAAACTGTAAACAACTTCGATATTAGAATATATAAACATAATATGTAACGTTACAATAACAAGGAACAAATTTTAGATACAAAAACAATCCTAGCTTTACAAAATGAAAGACGAATGTGGTCATAATATAAATGAAATTTTATCAGTCCATTCTAAGCTAAATTTATTTATTTATTTATTTTTTTATTTATTTGCTTGAAGTGCCATAAACACTTCCACAGAGAAGACAGATAGACTAATAGTAATAAGAACATAATAGACTCCTGTGTGTGGAAGAGCCATGCTTCGGCACGAATGAGTCGGCTCGACCGGAGTGATGCCACAGCCTCACAGAAAACCGGCGTGATACAACACACAGCGTTGTGTTTCGCAGTGTGAGTGAGGTTACTGTAGGCCCAATCCTTTCTCTTCCCCAATCCCTCTCCAGTCCCAAAACCTACAAATCCCTAAAAGATTGGCAACGCACTCGTAATTTCTCCGTTGCGGGTGTCTATCGGCGGAGCTGATTGCTTACCATCAGGTAATCCGTATGCTCGTTTGCCGACCTATTACATAAAAAAGACTCCTGTGTCGACATCAACAGAAATAGAAAGGCCAATGTTGAAATTTTCCTCTTAACCAGGATTTTTGCCTGACCTAGCCCTCAACCACTTCTAAACCTCTTAAGCCTGTCTTTGAGACCACAGTTACCTCAATTGACGGGATAAGACCGTCTTGTCTCTCGGTAGTTCATTTTAGAAAACCGAAAATGACCCTGATCGAAGAATACAATTAAAATAAATCAGATAAACAAGGCAAAAGAATAATTATTCTACAAATAGACTGAACTAACAAACTGGTAACTTGAGAAAGACACATAAACTTACATAATATTTTAATAAACCCACATTTCTGGGTTAACGGTTAATTTTCAGTTGTGACAGACAGTTACTTCAAAGGGATTAATTATATTGAGACAGAGTGTTATGTGTTTGTTAGGAACTGCTAATTTATTTTATGTTAATGTTGAAACTAATAATGTCTCTAATATCCCGTTTCGTAGCCCGCGGTGATAACATAGGCTGCATTTTTTTTCATTTCCAGTATATGTCTTTTGTGGATAATTATTACAGTTTAGTAAACAAATTAATTGATTTCTTGTGTTGCTTCAGATTCTGGTAGTTGTTAGTGTCTGTCTTTCGATGCAAATGCGCAATACTCGCTAGATCAATTAGATATCACTCAGCGCATACTGTGTCTGTTTTAGCCTGTATCTGGTTGGTGCCACTTCAGATTTAGACCTACCTCAGAGTTAATAGAGAATGCATCGCCTCTAAATCCAAATTAAACATGGTTATTTCAAATACGTTTAATGAACTGACGTGAACTTTTTAAAGAACTGTTTGAAGTTAAAATAATAAGTATATAAAAAATGGGCTTATTTTAAAGTTTGTGTTGCATAGACCAAATTTCAACGATGTAATAAAAACCCACATGTTACTAAATAGTCTTTATCGTTATCTACTTGGATCCCAAGAGATCGAAATTGAAAACTATAATAGATAGAAATGAACATAATTACAAAAGCATTAAGCCTTAAGTTTTATAACAGGTGTCGGCTGATGTCGACACAAAAATGGTTTTATTTGAAAAATTTCAAAATTAGAAGACGTGTTGATAATGCTTAAGTCCAGACAGAAGATTACAATTTGCAAAGCTAAGTAAACCAACAAACAGTAATAAAAAGCATGGAATATCTACATAGCGTTACGAATACTTACAACCCGTTTGTTGTTCACGAAGAAGTATTTTAAACAATAGCACTTGCCGGTGGCCACAAACAGTACAATGCAAGAGATATTTGTAAGACTGTTTACAGACTAAGTGTGGTTAGTACCCAAGTTGATGTTAAATAATTCGAGATGAAAGTATAAACGGACATATGTATGGTGAAGGGAACTCATTGTGAAGAAGACAGAATGCAAGGCGTGGACATTGCATGCGTTGACATGGCACCTTTTGCTTTTGAAAACGACCAAGAAAATATAATAGGTTTCAGGTATTACGTTGTTAATGTTATGAAATAGATACTCAGAGCTGAATAGGGTGAAACTGATTCGATTCCTCAACGCATGCCGCTAAAACTATTCAGCTAGAGTGTATTTATTTATTTCACCACTATTACATAGATCGTCTTTAAGTTCCCAACATTTCCAAGTTAAATAAACTAAAGAATACAATACTATTTCTTGGTACGATAAAATCTACATAATGTTTCCGCTATCGCGGTGGCCAAATAGTGATTCAACCCATCAGCTGTCAGCATGTTACACAAAGTACCTCCTCTTTCGTAGAAGAAGAACTTTTAAGTAATAGATTAAAACTTTACGATTTCTCCTATCAACCATTTGTTTACGAAATCGTTTAAAATAGCAAATGGTAACTCTAGTTTGTGTCAATACTGTTTCCCTTTATTCGTTGTGATAGGGTAGGGCGCTTAATGCTTCCGAGGGCCCAGGCCGGACGCGGGCGTCACGCGTCGCCGGCTATGCATGACGGGCTTGCCTCACCACGATGTTAACCCGACTCATTGAAACGCTAACCCCACCACATCAGCACGCAGCCGAGCAACCGCCAATTCTGTCGGACAACACTACAGTTTTTGGGCCATGAGTCAGAGTTACGTAACCTCGGTGAAAATGATATCTTATGAACTTGTCGTAGTAAGCAGTTGTTTTGATGTTCAGTCACGAACTCTTTCAAAACTATGTAATTAGTTGTCTTTCAACAGTTGGTTTTCCGTATTTATAAAAACAACCCAATACTTAACTGTTAGGTAGCTTGATCAGGGGTCTGACACAGAAAGCAGTTCAAGGTCTGTTCCGTATCGAAATACCTCTTTTTAACCAAATACTTATGGAAACTTTTGTAACAAGGTCGAAAAAGTCATCGAGCAATAAGATCGACAGGCATTAGAACAAAATTGTTACTAATTTTGTTAAAAATCAATATTAGAAGTTAATAACTTTAATGCAAAATTGTCTGCTTTGATGACCTTTGTATTTTGGTGCAGGAACAGATATTTCTTGACTCAATCTCCGCGCAGTATTAATGATGGAAATTATAATGTAAATTGAGAACAGTAGCCCAGTGGCCTTGATCACGCGTGTTCGGTTCCATGCCAGCGATCCGGACACATGAGAAACCGAGAGGAACCTGGCACCACCCCGCCACCTGACACCCGATCAAACCAACCGGAACCTATAACTTAGTTAAATGTGACATTCCCATTTAAATCTAGCACAGTCAGCAAATTGTAGAAATGTTTAGATCATTATACGCTTTGAGATAGTTCCGAACTAGCAATACGGTCAAACGCTTATGATGAATCGAAAAATGAATAATAGCTTTGAGCGTATTTTAGTTAAAAGTTACATAAGAGGTGGACGAATCGATATATTTATACGAACGATATTTATTACTTTCATTCGCCTAATTCAATTTAAACTCGTATATATTATAAAATAACCTAAATTATGACAGCTACCGTTTGAAGATTCTCTCGCGTCTCTAGTATCAACCTGGTTGACACTTAGTGACCTAGATTTTAGTGTTCATTAAACTAACTCGTTCAGATTTAGGAATCGAAAACTGTAACAGTTTCAAAACTAGTTAGCAAACTATACCCGTAAACATTAATGGCAGATCTCCAACTGCACTGGAATTCACAAAAGTTATTTACAACGATGTTTATTAAATAATGAGTCCGTTATGCATTTACAGGTCAGCGTGCTACGTGGAATTTCTACTGTATCAGAACAAAATGTTTGAGCCCAGCAATAGTCACTACAATAGGCATTTGTTCGTGTGCATCAAATTGTTAATAGGACAACGCAGTTGGGCATCAATATCTATAGTGCCCTGATACTGTTTATTTTGCTATTTTATTAGCAGGATCACTTTCATGATTTATGATTTAGAGTTTATAAGTAGCTTATGTTCTATTCCGGAGTGTATCCTACGCCTGTGCCAAATTTTATCCCGATCGAATTTTATTCGCATTTATAACATTAATAACATTAATTATCTATAGACACACAGTTCCAAGCATTGATTAAAATCTTTCTGTCGATATACATACATAACGGGAGCAAGTAACTCTTTCATTGTTCGCATAGAGGTCAATATGAATCGAGGCAAAAGCGTGGGACGACTGTGACACTGCCAATCTCATTTACACCTACAATTACTCTTAAGTTTTTGCTGATTACATGTGAGATGCGAGGCCACCGTTGGAATCAATTGTTTAAGAATCTGATCTAAGTAAGGTGTTTAGATAATTCAGAAATAAATTCAGGACAAGTGTCTGGTCATGAAATGGTACAAATGGATTTTAACAGCTGTGTTAAGTACATTTTGAATAGAAAAATCGGAAAAAACCTCAGATGTTAGGATCATGCTGCACAAGCTTTAAAAATTAACAAAAAACATAAAGCCTTAGTGCAAGTTTGATTTACTATAACGCGATTGAAACTCTGATTGGTTGGTTAATTTGAGGCTGGCCAATCAGGGCGCCGATTTTTATAAATGTGTCTATCGTCTTAACGTAATGTAATCTCGTGCTTAAAACACTGATTCTATAATATCTCTACGAAGTACGTTCCTCCGACGGTTACGTTTAAATAATGAATGAATGTATTTAGTACATCTTATCGTAAATACAAAAGGCTTTGCAAAACTTTTTTCAATGCAATTGATAGCCATTCTTTTCTAACTCGGCTGTTGCGTAATTCGGTTGTAAAGCACAATATTTCTCTCACGGGACCAAAACGTACAAAGAAATAAAATAACCACCAGGCGAGATACATGTATATAGTGGATAACAAATACAATAAACTCGTTGATGATAATTGTGGATGTAGTATTGTTTGGTTCCATACAAAGCAATCATCAATTTAATGCGTTTTCGATTTGATTGAATAAATGAAATGGGATTGCCGTATTTTGTATTTTGTCCAATCATTGCTATAACTGTTAAGTCAAACCATAATTAGAAACATATAATTACACGCTAATTATCATATGTGACCCTAAGATGGTTTAGTGAAATTATTTCCAGGAGCATGATTCATAGCTGTCTTGAATTGGATTGTAATGACAGTCATACAATGGCACAGTTTCTTTTGTTGTATGTAATAAAGTTAAATTTTATTTTATTTTGTTACAGGCTCCAGAAAGAATTGAGCAGTGTTCTCAACTTTCCAAAATTAGAACATCGGAGCAAAGCAGCGAAGTAGTGAAGCCTCCTGAAAAGTCGATTAAGAATCACAATATACGAGACACAGAAGTGACAGCGTTGAATATGGCAATTGATACCCTGCGATGGCAATTAACACAGGTATTAATTAAGCTTTGCATAATGATGCTAGCGATTATATTGGTGCACCAATATTTGATTCAATATTTTCAATACCATTTTATTATAATGCAATGCGATCAATACTATAAAATTTGTTTACATACTGCAGCGAAAATTTATTTATTTACCAAGCTGACGTGTCATTGCTAGCGTCTTATATATTTTAGTTCTAAATATTATTTTGTGTAATGTACGCGAATTATTGGTGATAACGACAAATTGAATTCAAATTAAATGTAACTTACTTTCAGACTGAAGCAAACAGACAAATGCACATAGCGTTACTTAAGCAGGTAGTGACGTTTCTTAGCAGAGTCAAGGAACATATTGAGTGCCAGAGCCCTGAGCCAGGGCCCGTGGAAACTGTGCCTCACAGGGAAGCATCACCGAGCTCCCTTAGCGTCGACTTGCCACGATCCCGTTCCGTTTTACACGTCAACAAACACGAATACTCTTTGAACACCGGCAAAAGATTGAGCACAAGAAAAATAAGTAAATCTATCAACAACGTGAATGGGGTCAAAGATAGCAACAGTGTCTGGTAAATCAATCTGTCGATATCTGAATGCATTATTTGTCTGTTGTAATACATTTGATAAAATTGTTATTTCGATTTGCAGGAATCAATCTAAATTATCATTGTCATCGGACACAGACAGCTCCCAAAAGATAACTGAAGAAATATCTAGACTGATCACTCTTGCCAATACTGTACTCAGTACTAAAATACCTGATCTCTCATGTAATTGCAGCGATAGTAATGATATTTTGAAAAATGATAGTATTCCCAACGGTGATTCTCTTGAACATAACGAATCAAATACAGCTTTAAATCTTATAGATGAGGACACAACCAACGCTTTTATACTGAACACGATTTACGACAGCGAAGATGCTTTTAATGGGCTTGCAAATAGATATGCAGATGTCAAAGATGAAATAACGGACTTTATAGTGTCATCTTCTCCATTGTCTTGCGGTATAGAAAATGACTTCGCTGGTATTGATATAAATCAAAAGGATCAAATGAAAACAACTGAATCTAAAACACGACCTATGAATAAAAGGAACGAGTACAATCACGTCGCAAATTTTATTGAAGACGAAAGTGGATTTTCTTCAATGAGTTCGTTCCAAGAGATAGGTATACCTATAATAAGTATTATACCACCGTCCCCTTGTAAAGAAGTAGGCTATATCGAGGAGTTTACTAACATTTTGGATGGAAATGAAAAATGGAAGAATGAAGGTGTGGACCTGGATAAACAATCTGTCAAAGTATTTTGGGTATGATATATTTGCTAATGTACAAATTCGTGCCTGATTACGTAATAATGACAGTTAAATTATTATTTGTAATGAGTGCGCAAATGACTTATGATAGATTTCACATAATGATTGTGTATTTCTCTTGAATTCTAGAAATGTATTATAACGCCGTGGATTTTATTTCATGTAATTGTGTAGTTGTACTTAAACTTTAATATTAATAAATAATAACTTTATGTATGGTATTGTTTTGTGATTATTGCCCAACCACGAGCCCTTGAGCCAATGTTAAATGGAACCTTGAAGATTCGATTCGAAATTGTTCATGGTCTTTACAAAGAAACGCTGAATGTTAAGAACAAACAATGGTTTAGCAAACGTGGTCAATGATATCATTGATTAGCAAAAGCGTTATTATATCAATGAATGTACCTGATTGAAATTAGGTTCTTTATTTATAAGACATATAATAAAATTATAGCTATAGTTACACTATAAAAACAAGAGTAATTAACAAGATGTGGATGAAATTTGAGGCTTTTTACATTTCATTGTATTTTACCAGCATATGCCAGGGCATGCATGTGTGATGCAAACGTCAAAAAAAGAGTGTACTCCTGATTGTCTGCACTCATGGCTCCTCTAGTGTGGCGAGTATCCATGGGCGGCGTTAATTACTTACCATCAGCTCGTATGCCTCTTATTCCATAGAAAAACAAACTATTTTAGCATCAACCTCCATTCAAAGTAAACTATGACATATCATATCCTACAAGACTAAAATTTTTAAAATCATAATAGAATGTCACGACAAAATCAATAATCATTTGACTTTCCCAACATTTAGGCATTGACAAAATACAAAAAACAGCGATGACGATACCTTTTTAAATATTATATTTTATAAAAATATATTTAAAATAAAATGTAAATTTAATTATTTTAATTTTGATTTTAATTGAACCGATTAGACTGAACTAAATTTTTGTGATAATATAATAACAATGGGTGATGTCGGTGAAGAAAAAGAAAGCGCAGCTAGTGGGGATAACTCAGAAACAAAGAAACCAGAGATATATACCCCTCCAGAACCGGAGCCAAAGCCACCTGATGTCGAACTATTTGTTGATGGTTTTGGATTCATGCCCAAGTCTAAGCACAAGAAAGAAAGGCGACGATCTAGTGTCTTCGAAAAAACTAAATTACCACAGCAAGAAAGTTATGATGACCATAGTGAGCAAAGCTTGTGCGCGTCGAGTACTAACATTGATATAGTTAGAAGATACACATGGAAGACAAAGAATAGGATGACAGTTCAGGTACAGTTGTATAACTCAAGGTCAACATCTAATGGTATTTTTGGGTAGTCTCCGAGAACCATCAATCATGTTCAGAATTTTCGCGAGGAGGGTAAGTTCACGCATTGTGTTGTTTTTGTTAGAAGTAAAGTCAGAAATAATGATTCAATACTTAAAAAAATATCGGTTTTTGAATTCTTATCCATCTTCAGGTTATAACGTATGGAGCCACTATCACTTCTATTTCGGTTCCTGACAAGAAAGGAGTACCAGATGATGTTCTTGCAGGTTTTGACACATTAGAAGGTAAATCGCAATTTTTTATATCTTTATTATGTAATTGATTAGCTGAAGTTTCAACGTTTTTCCAATGCGTTGTGGTCTTAATGAGTTCATCTATTATAATTTCTTTTATCGACTAGTAAGTAATGTACCTATATATGTTCGCTATTTATTAGAAAATAGTGTCCCTTACATACTCAAATGCCTAAACTACTATTCTACGTAACCTATATACTCTTTGTTAGTCCATCTAGATATCCACTACGTTTGTCTAGACGCGGTCTTTATTATAGAACACTTTACGAGTATTATATGGGTCTGATAAATGGTGAAGAATACGTTTTGCACACAGATACAATTTAGACCTTAATTATATTCTCATTTACAATGCCTTTTGGTTTTTTACAGAATATTTCCAGCCGGGGAACCCTTACTTCGGTGCGACCATAGGAAGATACGCAAATGTAATCAGAGATGGTACCTTTGTGGTTAGACCATCAGGGAGGATGTACATGGTCTCTAACAATAAAGGCCATAATCATTACAACGGAGGATACGTCGGGTTTGATAAGGTAACTTCCATTATACATTTTTTGGTTGGTAGGACGGTAAACGAGCAGACGAATTACTTGATGTAAGCGATCAGTGCCGCCAATGGACACCCGCAATAACGGAGGGGTTACGAGTGCGTTGCCGACCTTTTGGAGAATAAGGATTTGGAGATTTTGCGATTGAAGAGGGATTGGGGAAAGGGAAGGATTGGGCCTCATTGACACTCCTCCAGAAACACAACGTTGTAATTGTTTTACGCTGGTTTTCTGTGGGGCCGTGGTATAACTCCCATCGAGCCGACCTATTCGTGCCGAAATATGGGCTCTCCCACACTTAAGTTACCATTTTATAAGTAGTAATACCGAATGTACAATACAATAGGCAAGGTCTTCTGGGTCGTATGCACAGAAGTGTTTGCCTATACAGGGTGTAAAAAGTTGTTGAAGTTATAAATAAAAATAAATAAACTTTTCAAAAAGACGCTTAACGAAGCCGAAAGCCACGTATTCTACCCATTATTTGGATCATTTTTTTTTAGACAATAGCTGGGACTCCACGGGTTCTCGAGATATTGAAGATCAAAGATGCACTTTAATTTGTTGATTGATTGATTGATTGATTTTCAGGTGAATTGGCGTTCCTACGTATCCGGTCTGAAAGTGATAATGAGTCACGTGTCGGAGCGGTTCCACGAAGGATACCCTGGGACTGTTATGTGCCAGATCACATTTGAAGTGACCTGTAACAACACACTTAAGATTGAGATGAAGTGCACAACAAGTGAGCCTACAGTTATTAACCTGAGCAATGCGCCGTTCTTCAATCTTGCTGGTCATGTAAGTTTCTTGTCGTCAGCTTATGATTTCTATCTTTTGGGGATAGGGGTTGCGGATAAAAGGATCGGGAAGGGATAGGGGAAGGGATTGGGCCTCCGGTAACCTTACTCACACGGCGAAACACAACGCTGGGTTGTTTCACGCCGGTATTCTGTGAGGCCGTGTTATCACTCCGGTCGAGCCGACCCATTTGTGCCGAAGCTTGGCTCTCCCACATTTAAATATTCATTCATTTGATGTATTTACGAATTTTCGACGTCCATGATCCTTGATATTTTTGTCACCGCTTAACCATTTTCTTTTTTTTTCCAGCACACTGGCGCTGAACTTATGTTAGATCATATTTTTACTATTAATGCCGACAAATTCACTGCTGTGGATGAAGATGGTCTTGTAACCGGTATGTTCTTATTTCTGTCTAGGTTAAGTAACTTCTTGTAATCTTAAAATATTTAGAAGCGAGAGAGGGTGTTCTTAACAGCCCTATTCACTATTAGAGTTCTTTTCATGACAGTATGTTCTGTAGTTAATTAAAGTAAATTGTAGGTATTAAGGAATTAAAAATTAAATCGTCAATACCTCTGGTAAGCTGAGTATAAATAAAAAGGCTTTTATGCGACTTTTAAATCAAAGCCTGAATGATCATGTCTTTGTTGAATTTTTGCGGTATTGGGTTATCTCTAGTTTCGGTTTTGTATCCACGATAAGCGCGTTCCTGAGTTCCGCCGTTTATGAGTGTGGATATTATAGAGAGACTTGTTTGGTGATACACCCTTGCAAGAAACATGCCGCTGTACAAATGAGAGGCAATGTGATTATTTATTTTTAGGGCAGTCTTCAATAGATCTTGTATTGTTTCTCTTAAAAATAGAGGGCATCTTGTAATAAAATCCCCTAATATGCGCTGGTACCTAACTTCGGCTTTAAAACATTGCATAGTCATACTTACTTCCTCTTTTGTTAACCAGGCGAAAGAAAAGTAGTAGGTGGAACGGCGTATGACTTTCGTGTCCCTCGAATCCTGAGATCCATGTTGCCTAAGATACCCATGGGTGGCTACGATATTAACTACTGCATTACTCGAGGGACAGAACAGGATTTGGCTTTTCAAGCTAGGTAAGTAATCATTATATTCTTTTTTTATTCAGTATCCCGAATAAAATATAATTAAGAATCTCAAAGGTTTTTAAAAGAACAGTGGCATATAAAAGCATTGTTGAGTGGCACACACAGATTACTGTCTATCACTTGACTTGGCAGGAATTCTCATTATGAATATACACTCTTCATAGGTATTTATTTTTAAACTTTCCAGGGTGCTGCATCCGCTGACAGGACGAGTTCTCGAAGTGTATAGCAATCAGCCTGGTATGCAGTTCTACACTGGCAATCTCCTCCCGGATCCTGACAGAATCGTTGAGGTACCTAATTTTAATTTAAAATTAAAGATCTTTTACCCTTACAGATCCTGGTTTCTCACACTATGTCCAGGGTCTATCTACTTCTTTGTTTTCTCCCGGCTTCGAGCGCTGTTTAGCATCATTTATAGTGAGGTCATTTCTACTCATAACATCACCCAGAAAATTTCTCCTGGATTATAGGTCCTACAAGACGTTCCACATTATCTATGCCTGATAAATACTGCTGCATTCTGGTAAATTTCATATTTGTAGGCACTTAAGTGACTCTTGCAAGAACAGCAGTACTGGTAGTAGTGGTGGGAAATGGATCTTATTGAGCCGTTAACACACGGATACCGTGAAATGAGTCAGGTATTTAGTTTAATAATAAAATTTTGTATGTAGCCGGTGCCGATGTCAGAAGAAGAAAGGGAAGAGGTTGATCACAGTGAGGAAATGAGCAGTGAGAGTTCAAGTGTAGAAGTTGAAGATGAGGAAGGAGATGAACGCGAGGTGATTTTGAACTTTCTCCTTGTACTTAGAGATCATTTTGTAGTAGATAGATGTTTAAAATTAAGGTAATTCTATTTTTTTAGGAAACCTGAGGTAATCACAGACACCGAACGTAAAAACGTTTGTATGTGATGCTAATGTAACAGTAAAATGAAACGAGATTAATATTTTTTTTTATATAATAGATCAAACGAGCAGCTGGATTACCTGATGGTAAGCAATCAGCGCCGCCCATGGACACCCGCAACGGAGGAGTTACGAGTGCGTTGCCGACCTCTTAGGGATTAGGGGTTTGGAGATTAAGGCATTGGGAGGGCTCGGGGGAGGGGAAGGATTGGGCCTCCGGTAACCTCACTCACACGGCGAAACAATACGCGGTGGTTGTTTCACGCCCCTTAATATAAAAAGAGGTATCAAGATTGTTGCCATTTAGTACCTATTTGTCCTAATGCATTTATTCCTGTCGATAAAATTATTATTTTCTTTGCTTACAGGGTAAAAAGGGTTACGGCTACGTCCCTCTGCTAGGCAAGAAGGGAACTATGTATAAACGACATGGTTTATTCTGTCTTATGCCTCAAAATTACCCAGACGCCGTGAATTATGTAAGTTTAACATTTCAATCGTGGTAATTCGAGACATATTTAAATAACAATAGGTATGCCTGGCCTTCGCTTGGGGTTTGATGCAACCCTGAAGGTTAAAGCCGGGTTTTCACAGTAAGAGTTGGCTCGGATCGAGTGCACTCGTACGAGCCAGCTTCGTACGGTACACGGATAGTGGTTTATTGTCGCCATATTGTTTACAAAAAAATGATCCACAGAGTACATTGAAATGATCCGAGTGAGTTCGAAAAATAGAACAGAGTTCGAGTCTACTCGGATTAGACGTTGGCTTCCGAGTGCGCTCGGTTTACCTGTTTATATGATACGAGTAGCATCCGAGTAGACATCCGAGTGCACTCGGCTTTACAGCTTATTGCTTAAAGCGTAGAACAAGCGTTGCTGAAATGAACAATACTTTAGGTAATAGAGACTAAAGTTCCCTAAGATGGAATAAGGAGGATCCTTTGACCAGGCGAGGTGATCAGTCTGGCGGATTACTGCTAAACAATAAAATTGTACGGATTTTTATCCGTTGTTTCTTCGCGCGCAAACATCACTTGAATCATAAAGGACGCCATCTTTTGAACAATGTCGTTACTATGTGCGTCGCCACATAAAATACTTACAGGTTCATGAAACATAATTAATGGACATAAAGGCTTGTTCAATATTCGGGGTAACGGGTTCGGTTCCGTGTAATTTACAAATTGTTGTTATGGGTCTAGTAGGGGTGTTGTTTATGTAAAATAGTATATTTGAAAAGACACCCACCTACTGATAATTCGCGCATCTATTGTGTCCCAAATTACCACGGTTGAACGCTTAATGAAAAGTTTAATAAAAATGTAATACTCATTAAATTGATATTTACAGAAAAACTTTCCAAGTCCGGTGCTCAATCCAGGCGAAGAGTATATTCACAGAATACAGTACAAATTTGGTATACTACTCGGCAGATACGTATAGGTAAAATTACGATTAAATAATAATTGATTAACTAAGTATGTTAATGTTTGCAACGTGGTCTTGCGTATCGTCATATAATATATCAAAATTTTGAGTTAAATAAATACTATGTAAAGTGGATTGTGTTGTTTTATATAATTTACTTGATATTTTATACAAAACTAGCTACTTTCTTGCGGTTTAATCCGCTGCTCGGCTCCATTTGTTCGTAGCGTGATTTTTTATAACCTTGCACTCAGGTATATTGTAGCTATCTATCAGTAAAAGAATTAAGGAAATCTGAGCAGCGTTTCCAAAGATTACCTCCTACATACAAACTTACAAACATACAAACTTACAATTATTACCTCTTTATAATATTAGTATAGATATAGATATACCTAAAAATGTTCATTATTTTTAATAATTCAATGAAAATGGTGTTGTTTTTTTTATTAAAAATAATATGATGTAAGTATACATACCTACTGATATAGGGATTTAAAATGCACTCGCGGTAGTTTATAATTAAATACTTTCATGTGATAAATTATGTAAATTATATAAGTTGTTTATATACATACTCATAGTTTTTAATCAGGAAGAATAATGCAGTCTTGCCTGCAAACTCCTTATTGTTAGTTTACGATTGTGGCGACCGTGGTGCCGACGCATGGAGATCGACTATAATGTTCAACAGATGGCGACACAAGTTCTACATAACGTAAGTGAAGTTTAAGTCAAAAGTTGAAAGTAAAAAAAATAGAAAATCCCAAAGTACAAACGTTGGGACAAAACGCAAGAACGACTTAAGAATTTTTGGGTTGTATAGTGAGTTAATAACTTATTTGGGGGTAACTTTGGATAAATAATTCTACTCTTTGATCGGAATGACGTATGACGATCAAGATTGGCCGTAAACAATGTCGTCGTGCATGTGAAAGTTCATTCTTTGACAGTGACATGCCTTTCATCAATATGTCATTGTCAGAAAGTTATAGAATACTATTTATAAATAACATACAAATAAATAGTTTAGTGGATTAACATGAAATATTTTAAAAACAATAAAAGGTCATCAGTAGTATTATTTTTATAACATGTTATATGAAAATATATTTTACTTGAGCAAAGCGACATCTACCACCGTCGGGGTAAACAAGATAAACTCGGATAGTACACTATAAAATCATAGATGGCGTTCGTGGTTTCAACTAAGGGTTTTTGGCAAATACTTGGAGAATTGTATGGACGATGACTGTAACAGGTTTGTATCATGTTAGCAATTATTTTTACTGTTCGATATACATATATCGCATACATAGTCATATAGTAGTAACGCCAACTGTACGTTATTTATTTTTTTATATTGTCATAATATAAAAAACGATAAAACACATCCTCATGCTTATAATCCCTGAAGAGCCAAGGCGGAGGTGCTGATGATCAAAATATCCAGATGTTTAGAAAATAATTTGAAGTTTCCGCAAATTTGTAAACGATATAAACTGCATTCTAATTTATTAGACCAGATACTGCAAACTATCTAAATATTGAGGAGAAACTATTGAAATTTTAAAATATTATTTAAGTAATGGTAAACTGGTTCGTCTGGGCTTGACTGTGTTGAGTGATTCCAAATACAATTGTTGAGCGAAACACAAAAACTATAGCTCCGGCTTAAAATACAATGGTCGGTTTTAATTTCGCACTCTAAGCATAAATCTCTAATGACGTCTTGCCCGTAGTCATTGAGGTAAAGATGACAATGATGTTGTTTCTTTATATCTATATCTTATCATTATATCTTAAACATAAACGTTGCCTAGGATTTTCTCCTGTGTCGTGGGTGCGGTTACAAACATAAAATTTCACATACACATGACACCCTGACCCGGAACAACAATTTGCGTATCACAAAAAGAGTTGTTCCGCGCGAGAATCGAACCCGCGACACATTGCACGGGAGCCAGTTGCCCAGCCACCGCACCAACCATATGAAGATACGAGTTTGAATCTGGCAAGTACCGATATGGCTCATTCAAGACTTACATGCTTTTTCTAAGATCTGATATAATATATTATGTTGCGCACTATGCGATTTTTGCAAAATTGCTCGTTGCCCTCCTATGTATTACATAAAAAATATACATATATGGTGAACGAACGAACAAGCAAACAGCAATCTACCTTGACCAAGCTGGCTAATTAATAGCCAGAACTTCTCCCTGTGAGAAGTGGTTTTCAGTAAGCCGATAAAAATGCAAAAATGTGAGAATGCTTCATATTTTGAAATATAATCCTTTGTCGGAGTCGTGTTCCTCAAAGGGTAATCTTTGAATAAGTTGGTTATGAGTTGGCGTGGTTCATCGTAGGTCGCATCATAGCTTACCAACTGGCGTGATAGCGACAAAACGCCAGCCAATTGCAAATAAAACTCCAGATGAAACTTCTATCAATCTCCGAAGGGGTATACACTTTTCACCTCGTTATGTCATGCTAAATGTCCCATGTGAAACGGGCTTTTTTTTTTTGTGAGGGGAAACTCATCAAATGACTTCTCCCGCTTTTAGTGTCAGACTCTTACTGACTAAAAACCCCCATGTTCCTTCTCCTGCTCTGGGCCGAGGTCGCGGTGCCTCATTGAGCTTACCCCGCAACCCCGGCTGAACATCAGCCCTATAGGGCCCCGTCTGTAGTGGTCTATTGGCTCTTTGAGGCGCGCGCGGAACGCTACGCGCCATACGCTCGGGCCTGGTTCTGGTCGGGCGGCGAGCTGCCCTTACTCGCCGACCGCAGACGGCTTACGGTGGCCGGAGATCGTCCCTTGATCCCCGACGCCCGTAGTGTCGTCTATTGCGGCGGCTGGGGCTGACTTCAGTGCATCGAGTTGCGGGATTTTCAATATATTCCTGCACCGAACAACGTTTGAGTGATCCACACACTCTTTTTCCAGGTGTATGTGAAATTGGATCAAACAAATAAGTTTTCCGGGTCTAGGTGTATTTGAAATTGTACGCATCCACGATACGGGGGAAATACCTAAAGATTATAAGTGAGTTTCTGTCTAATCTGTTTTCTGGAGTTGTTCTACAAATGACGCTGCTTGTAAATGTTGCTGGTTTAATGGCATAATTTATGTTCAGAAATATACAATAGGGTAGGTCTTTCGCCTGACACAGGTGCTTTCCGGACACTGTGTCGTCATTGCGATGGCCATCGAGAAGACACGTTGGAGCGTGCGGTGGCATTGTGCCATGCTAAGGCTGAGTCGCCGTGTCTGCAGGAAAGCGATAGGTGGTGGTTATGCCTCGCGCATGGCCTTAGTCGAAGCCGCTAAGGAACTGGGAAACCGTTTCCTTCTTCTACTAGTCAAGATCGCAGAGACGCAGGGGGAGCGCATGAGAGAACTGTTCTTGTCACGCCCCAACCGTGAAACCCTTGACACGTGGTGAGGTCAGTTTGGGCATGAGCGTGTATGTGTGACCTGTCCTCAGTTAGGCACTGAGTCATTGGATGATTTCCACCCTTAACAAAAGGGATGTAACGAGCACTTAAAAAATTAAGTCGACAAAGGACGTAAGCGGCAGCGACTATCAGTACTTAATAAAATCGATAAACAAACAACGTACCCGGCAGCGTTCCACGAGGGAACTCTCTCATAAAACTAACGTCAAACACAAAAAGAAATACAGTTCACTTCCTGTCTTCCAAAGAGGGAACCTAAAACGTCAATTTCCCGCACAGTTAAGTAAAGGTTGCGGGAAACCTGTTGAATTTACTTTAAAAGTAGTCGGTAGTTGGGAAACAAAAGTTGTTGTTATATCGAGACCAAGTCGGACAAGTTCAGTTTTGTTTTTAGGTATCATTTTATACAAAAGAGTTGTAATATTGCAACAAGTGTTAGTAGGCTAGATCAGTAAAAATGCTATTAAGCGTTTTGATGTTTAGAGACGTGTTTTTGCTGAAATAAATATTGCTAATTGTTCTTGACTTAGGTAATTCACAATATCGATTTTTTTCTTAGTTTTTAGGATCAGGGCTTTTCTCATTATCGATGACAGGGTCGAAGAGTTTTGCTTCCGTACTCGAAAGATA